GTGCTGCAATCAATCAATCAATCAGTTATTCAACTCGTCATCTGTACGTACCGCCTCTGCTGTCACCGTTGTTGACCTAACCAGTCTCTTGACGATCTTCTGCTCATGGCATTGCTAATGACAATCAATCAAGCAATCAACCACTCCATCAATCAATCAACTAATCAATCAATCAACCACCTTGCGCATCTGCCGCCTCTGCACAGCTCGTCGAAAATGGGCGTCTTGTCCTCCGTGATGAAACTTCATCTATAAGGGCAAATGCTCCCACGAGGACTTTCTTCGATGTATCTGACTCCAATGGAGCTGCTCTTGAATGCATCTGCCCGCAGTTACGTCCAGAGATCAGCTGAAAAAGACGTAATTGATTACGCCCTACTATGACAAAACCCACTTGGTCAAAAACCGATCCCGCCGCATAATCAGATCAAACCCCCTGCACTTCTGGGCCTCGGCCGGCGCACAACCCACATGTGTAAAAGACAAAAATATGGCGGCTGTATCTGTCCAATTTCTGGCGGGAGATTCATTCTCGTTTTGCACCTTCGGTGACTGGTGCGGCGAGGAGCTCACTCTTCCTCTACCATTACCACTTCCCGCGTTTTTTCCATCTTCAAACGTCTGTACGACCCAAACATTTCCACAACGTCTGTACGGCCCAAACATTTGCATCTTCAACGTCTGTACGGCCCAAGCATTTCCATCTTCAAACGTCTGTACGGCCCAAACATCCGAAATGCCCCGGGGGCCAGGTCCCACTAGCAGCATTGAGTTTCCTGAACGCATGAATCTGGACGTGCCTGTGGATATGTGCAGAAATCGCTTTGAGTTTTCTCAACCGCACATCTCCACGAGCGCGTCCAGATTCAGGCGTTGAGGAAACTCGACGCTGCTAGTGGGACCTGGCCCCCGGGCAAAGATCCCATTTGCACGGATTAAGAAGAGATTCTGGCCGTTGATCTTTGCTATCTACGGTCAATATCGCTTAATCCGTGTAAGTGGGACCTACATGTAGCCCGCGAGCGTGTCCCAGAGGGCATATTCACACTACCACCTCCCTGGATGTAGGCCGCTTTTCCCACCCGACTGAATGCACCTGACCGCAATCACGTCCACAGAGAAGTGGAAAAAGTCCTATTTGTGAGCATGCCCTGAGCAAATCAGCCACAACGAGGATGGAATGGAGAGAGACGGGAAAAAGGACCTCGCTCCACCACTCTCGAAATGTGCAAAACGAGAGTGAATCGTCCGCGAGAACATGGAAAGATACATCGCGATAATTTTTTTCTTTCGTGCATGTCGATAGTGGCGCGACGCCCAAAATGCACTGTGGACTCTTCGACGCGCTACAAGTCAACGCTTCCATGCGGCACTCCCCCGCCCGCCGCCAACGAGCTCGACGGCTAAATTTCCCCGCCAACAACCTCCATTGCCCAAGCTGCAATTGCCAAGAAATTGCCACCGAGCTCCATTACGCGTTATTCGCGTTTCCCGCCAAAAAGCTCGCTCGGTCGCCATCAGGCCGACCGATCCGTGAATTCGGATCTGGCGGATCTTCCCCCAGCTCGACAAGCGGAACCGGCAACTTTTACGAAGTAACCGGCCTCGGGTCGCAAGGTAGACGGGTCGAAACCGGGGGCTACAGTAGGTCCCACTAGCAAATTCAAACTGGATTGAACGCCTGAATCTAGACGTGACCTGGTGGAAAGATGCAGAAAATCGAGATTGAACTGCTTTTCTGCATCTCTTCTAAGAACACGTGGAGATTCAGGACTACACCCCCCGGGGGCCGCACCCCACGGTAGCAAACTAAACTACACGCTGCATGTGGGACCCACGGTAGAAAAGTGAAGTACACGACATTCTAAACTAGATTACACGCCTTCGGCAGTGGTGGGAGCGTTAGTCGAGTGTGGTCATTAGTATGAGTATGGTTTTTGGATGGGTTGATGTTTAATTGTTTAGTAGTTTTGTGAGAAGGAGGTAAGGTGGCCCATGATTGGAAATGAAGGTAATCTGGTGATAGTACTGTGATACCCGTGGAATTGCTAGCAGCGGCGTCACCTTGAGCAGTGAGTGTAGCAAGTGGCGGTGGGAACGATACTGGAGGAACGAGAGAATCGGTGAACAGCAAACTTGAGTTATACCCATTGTGTCCCCTAATCCACGAAGGACCAAGGGTGCATGGTGGGGAACCCGTCATGGCAGCTCAGGCTCTTTGCAGGGTGTGGGAACAGAGTGGGTGAAAGGGTAGCTCGATACGGCAGCTAATGAATGTGAGAACAAAGCAATCGGCACTATAGTCAGGGTGAATCCCAGGGATTTACTGATAGCGACGCCATCTTGAGCACTATGAGCCTATGAGGGTATCAAGAGGCGGTGGGAACGCCATTGGTTAGATGCTATGAGAGAACCGGTGAGGAGCAAACTTGAGCTGTACCCATTGAGTCCGCTAAAACTATGAAGGTCCAAGGGTGCGTGGTGGGAAACCCGTCATGGCAGATCAGGCTTCTTGCAGGGTAGTGGAATAGGGAGGGAAACAGGGTTATCCCTGCAGGTGTGATTAATTAACTGCTGTAGGATTGTTCTCTATTTCTGGGAGACAATATCACCACRTTCAGTTTGAAGTTGGCATGAGTTCGGGTTGAAATTTGGGATTGTTTGGGATTATTTAGTTGGCTTTCGGAATAATTTTTTAAGGGTTAAAACTGTAAAATTCTTTGTGAATTGCCTTGCGCTTTTTCGAATTCTACAGATTATAACTTGTAGTTCTCTGCCAATAGTGTTTCGTCGTTAGAAACATGCCGGCGTTGCACTTTTTCTTCTGCGCGGCAAGGTTATCATGCTATAGGCTGAAGGACTGGAGAGGTTATTATTGTTTAGTTCAGCCGCCTTTTTCTGTGCTTCAAGGTTAGTTTGAGGAGTTTTGTCCTATTGAGACTGGGCGGTCGTGGGACGCTGGACCCGGTTTCCAGCAGGCTTCATCTCGTTAACACCGGGTAGAATTGTGAGGTCCCCGGCCTCGACCACTTTTGTTTTGAAATATAAAGTGACAACTTCTCAACAAAAAAAAAAACAAAAAAAAAAACTAGATTACACCTACACATGGGCCTACCTCAGTTGGTCCACCCATGAGCTGTTGAAATGCAGAGACCTGAGTTCCAATCCAGATAGAATCAGATGACCCTAATAAATTCATCATGAATTACCTGGGACCATGTCCCACTATCTCCGTTGAGACAGGTCGACGTTTAGTTTTCGACCCTGTGTGACTGTAGGCGACCACGGAGATGCGTTTCGTTTTCGCCCCTGTGACTGTAGGCGACCACGGAGACGCACGTTGTCCAAGTGATATAGTGGTCGATTTTTAATTCGCAGCCCTAAGGCTGCGGTATAGTGTGCTTCCGCGTCTGTGTCAAGGTGTCGCATTTTCGGTGGCGGGCGACTAGGACGCAAAGTGGGTTCTTAGGGGACAAATGTTTTTTGGGGACCGRTCCTTGGCAAAATTGCGGACTACCTACAGCTAGCTCTTCTAGAACCGGGACTTTTGGAAAAAGGAAGGACCGGTCATCGGGTGGAAGTGGACCCCAAAAAGAAGTGGGGGGCGTCGGGCCGGTCCCCGGGTAGAAGCGGACCCCAAAAAGAAGTGGAAAAGGGCCCTCAGGCCCAGGCATTGAGCCCCATCTTCTCAAAATAGGGAGGTCAGGCACAACGAAATAGGCGTTTTGCAAGAGGCAACTTTGACGATTTTCTGTGCTCGGACGAACATGCACAAAAATCTGAAATTTTAAGAATCCATAGATGAGGTCGTGTTCTTTCCAGAAATAATAATAGAACATTTACAAAAAATTATTTACACTGCGAAATAATCGCGGCGCCGATTCGGCACATTTTTCATTTTTGCCACTCAGCCATGCCTATTCTAACTAAAAAAGTACTCCAAATTCAGTGAGCTTTCACGCTCAGAAGAATGCGTGACAAAACCTGAAAATTGGAGTACTCGTAGATTTTGTTGTGATCTTTCCAGGAAAAACGTTAAATAAATTTTAAAAAATCATTCCAACTGCAAAGTAGATCGCAGCCGCAATTTAACCCATATTTCAATTTTGCCATTCTCACTTGTATCAACAAACGGAACAAAACTCTTTTTCTCTCTCTCTCTCTCTCTCTCTCTCTCTCTCTCTATATATATATATATATATATATATATATATATATCCCCCCCCCTCTCCCCCTCTCTCTATTTCTTTCTCTCTCTCACACTCATAACAATAAAT